AAATAGATTCCAGTTATCAGCCCTTTATCAGACGTGTAGCTTGCAAAAATTTCTCCCAATCTGTGGGTTCCTCCTGCCTTCTTAATTAATGATCCTTGTTACAGATTTACTTCCCCTTTGCTGTCCTGCTTTGCCTTAGACCAGGTGACAGAAAACCCACTGACTATCGCGCCTTCTGTAAAACACGTTGAAGAAAAAAGAAACACTACCTATAACCAAATTATTCTAACTGTGCACCAGCCTCCTATGAAAACTGTAGTAACCCTCCTAAAAACTCTGCCTGTGACTATGAAAATGAAACCTAAACTTCTTTACTTCAGAAGTTGGACTCCGTTCCTCCCAGCTGGGGTTTCCCGGTGGGCTAGCCTCAAAGTTTGCGTTTGAAAAAACTCTCCTTAAATTAGATTCTGACTCTTTCGATTATTTTAGGTTGACACCTCCAGCCACTAGCAAGCCCTAGAGCAAGGCTAAAGATGACCAAGGGCAAATGAAGGACACACCCGGATACCCTCAAGACGAGTTCAGTGATCCTAGCACTCTGGGAGGCTGAGGCGGGAGGATCGATCAACGTCAGGAGTTCGAGACCAGCCTGAGCAAGAGCGAGACCCACTTCTACTTAAAATACAAATAAATTAATTGGCAAGTAAAAAATATATATATAGAAAATGAGCCGGGTATGGAGGCGCATGCCTGTAGTCCCAGCTACTCGGGGGCTGAGGCAGGAGATTGCTTGAGCCCAGGAGTTTAGGTTGCTGTGAGCTAGGCTGACCCCACGGCACTCTAGCCTGGGCAACACAGTGAGCCTTTGTCGAAAAAAAGAAAGAAAAGGAAAGGAAAGGAGAAAGGAAAGGAGAGAGAGAAGAGAAGAGAAGAAAGAAAGAAAAGAAAGAAAGAAAAGAAAAGAAAAGAAGAAAGAAGAAAGAAAGAAAAAAAAGAAAGAAAAGAAAAGAAAAAGAAAAAAAGTTCAGTGAGGTCTGGAGCACCTCATGGCTTTCCCACCTCCCCACCGGCGACGCGCTCCTTGAGCTGTAGGCGCCTCCCGAGCCCCCAGAGCACGCCGGGAGCTGTAGTTCCCAGAGGCCGGTCTAGGTCTGCGCACGCGCCTGGAGCCCCCGCCCGTTCTCCCGGATGAGGAAGTGGCACCAGCGCTGCCACGCGTTCTGCGGCCAGGCCAGGCACGCCGGCGTGCGGGGGCTTCTGGGAGTTTAGCCTCCGGAGGTGAGGGCGGGCTCGGTCGGTAAGGAGACGTAGCTTTACCGTGGGCTCCGCCGCTGCCGTCGGTTCCCGGCGGCGCTGGAAGGCACGAGAGTGTGCCGACCGCGGCGCGCCAGCGCGCCGCCGAGGGCTAGAGGAGGTCAGCATTGTTCGTTGCATGCGCAGGACGGCGGCGGTGAGGTGCGTTGCGCTGCCGCCCGTCTCCTGCGCGCGCGTCCGCGGCGGCGGTCCGCGCGGCCTCCGTCCGCTGCCAGCGCGAGCGTCAGCGGGCCGCGCGCTCCCCCGCGGCGACCTCCGCGCCTCCCTCGTTCCCGCCTCGGCCGCCCGGTCTCGCGCTGCCCCGTCGCGGCGGTCGCCCCCGCGCGCCTCGCCGCGGGAGGCGCTCCCGCGTGCACCTCCTTTCCCCGTTTCATCCTCGTTTCTCTTCGTCGCGCTGCCGCAGGTGGAACGCTGGCGCAGCCGGCCGCGGGCCGCGGCGGGCCCGGGAACCTGGGCCAGAGCGGCCGCCGCGCGTCCATCCTGGGCGGAGGCGGGTCTGCGCCCCAACCCTCCTCGAGAACGGAGTCCAGGCTCCGCCGCGAGCGAGGCCCAGCCAGGCCGGAGCAGCCGCGGACCCGGAGCGCCGACGCCGCGCCAGCGGTGAGGAGGGCCGCCGGCCTCGCCAGGCCCCTCGCCTCTCCCGTCACCCTTACTCCTCCTCCTCCTCCTCTCTCCTCGTCCCCCCAAGTTAGGGCCGCCCGGCTCACTCCGCAGGTAGCTGCCCCGTCCGCGTCCTTTCGGGCAGATGCCCGTCCCGGCTCTGCCCTGTCACCTCGGTTGCTTCTCTGTCCAGTGTCTCTCTCCCTTCCCTAGTATTATTATTATCATTATCATTATTATTATTTTGGCAGACCTGAATCCTTAGCCAGGGGTCCTCAAACTTTTTATTTATTTTTATTATTATTTTTTACTTATTTACTTATTATATTTTACTTATATATTTTACTTCTTTAATTAATTAATTAATTATTTTTAAAAATTATGTTTTTATTTGAGACAGAGTCTCGCTTTGTTGCCCAGGCTAGAGTGAGTGGCGTGGCATCAGCCTAGCTCACAGCAACCTCCAACTCCTGGCTCAAGGGATCCTCCTGCCTCAGCCTCCCGAGTAGCTGGGACTACAAGGCATGCGCGCACCATGCTGGATATTTTTTCTATGTGGTTTTTTTTTTTGGTTTTTTTTTGAGACAGAGTCTCGCTTTGTTGTCCAGGCTAGAGTGAGTGCCATAGTGTCAGCCTAGCTCACAGCAACCTCCAACTCCTGGGCTCAAGTGATCCTCCTCCGGAGTATCTGCGACTAGAGGCATGCACCACCATGCCCGGCTAATTTTTTTTTCTATATGTATATTAGTTGGCTAATTAATTTCTTTCCATTTTTAGTAGAGATGGGGGTCTTGCTGTTGCTCAGGCTGGTTTCGAACTCCTGACCCCGAGCAATCCACCTGCCTCGGCCTCCCAGAGTGCTGGGATGACAGGTGTGAGCCACCGCGCCTGGGCCAGGTCCTCAGAACTTGAACAGCCAAGTTCACTGTCCCTCAGACCGTTGGAGGGCCGGAGTATAGTTTAGAAAAAAAACTATGAACAGATTTCTATGCACACTGCACATATCTTATTTCGAAGTGAAAAAAACAAAACAGATGGGCAAAAACACCTGCATGTGGCCCGTGGGCCATAGTTTGAGGACGCCTGCCTTAGACCTATTAAGTTGTAACTTGTGGCCCCAGTGGTCTCTGTAGTGTTGTTTGGTTACTAACACAGTGTGTTTTGAATCTGGAGTGGTTGGCAGCGTTTGCTTGTTCCTTGTTTCTTAAAAAAATCTCACACAAGTCCTACCAACAATTTTTATTTTCTTTTTGGAAAATAAGATCTTGTGGCTTTTACTGTCTTTGTGCCTTGGCAAACAGTCGGCTGGGACGGAGTAGCAGAAATCCCATTTAGTTTGGGCTTGGGCTCTCCATCATCTCAGTCTCTGTCCTCTTGGGGCCAGTTATCATTTGCCATCTTTACCAGGTTGCCTTTGTTTATTGACTTTCCTTGGTCTGTTTCTTGTTAGCGCTTGAACATGTACTACTACCTCCCTCTGCTGTGATTCCTTTTCACAAATTTCATGTCTTTTCGTGGATGTATGTGGTGTTGTCTTGGATGTATCAATACCCTTCATTCCCGACCGTGTTTTAGCGGTGTCAGAGAGCACTTACAATTGTGCAGGAGGCCAAGGGGATATTCCTTGAAATCATTTTATTTTTGTGTTTGGAATGTATTTTCCAGGATATATTTTTTGGGGGAGGGGAGCAAAATTGAGCTTCTGAGTGGTTTTTCTCCTAGGCTAATTTTAAAGTGAGGTGGTATTCTCTTAGCTTTTAGTTAACTGAATTTACGATAGTAGTGGTGGTGAGGCATGCAGTTTGGGGACATATGAACAGTTTTGAATAAACTCTCTTGGATTTTGTGGGTGGAAGGAAAACATACCTTCTCTACCTGGATAATTGAGATTTGACTGTAAGAAATAATACCTGAGAATGTTGTTTTGTCAACTGTCTTTAACTTTCTTTGAGATGATGTCAGGTTATGAATGTTTTCATTATATCTGTCCAGTTCGGCCTTTTTTCTTATTCATCTTTAAGTGCTAATTTCCCATAGATTAATGATATTTATCAACCCTCTTATTGTACAAGTTTTGAGTCATGCGTCCTGTAGCCATTACTTTTTTCCCTAGTACTCGAAGATTCCCTAGGAAAGCACCATATATATTTCCTTCCAGTTTTACTTGAAATAGTCAGTTTTGGTTGATAATCTCCAACCAAACTGGCTGCAACAGGAAAAGGAAAATGGTTTCATGAGGGAAATAAAAGAGAAAACATCATCAGGTACAAATGTACCACCTAAAATAAGAGAGCTTATCTTGGTAGTGGCTCATGAGTTTCAAGTATAAAGTGGATTTTAAGTTAGTAAATTTTAAATCTTTCCAATATGGGCACTAATGAATTCAGATCAATTCAGGTTTATGGCTCTTTTCTTAAAACGATGGTTGCTGCCCAGAGAGCTTATTGATACTTAGTGCTTGAAGAAAATTCCTATGGTTTTTTGCTGTCAAGAAGTCTGAAGTCTCATTGGGAATACGTGCAATGAAGTAATCTAATTCTGTTTTGCATGATTATTTAATCAAGTAACAAAATGAAAAGTACAAACAGTGCCAAAGAAAGTAGTGGAAGAACTAATCCAAAACTGTTTAACATTCTTTTTGGAATGAAGTTTTAAAGAGGCGCATTTTCCATGTTTACATGGAAAATTTGTGTGTATTAACGGGAAATATATTTTTTTGTTACTACAAAAATGTCAAAAAGTCCACAAATGGCAAAAAGTTCTTGAACTTTCTAAGAAGCAGATATAAATCTATTGGGTAAACAGTGAGTACTGTCCGTAAACTCTTTGGTGGGCTGACTGTAGTTCAGAAGAGGGTAGTTTGAAGTCCCCACCTTCCCTGATTCTTGTTTTCTCCTAGTGGACTTGTTCCTCCACCTCTTAAAAATCACTGTGTACAATGTTGTTTTAAAACATCCCATTTAAATTTTTGTAAATCTTTATTTTGACTTTGATCACTGGTTTTTTGATACTGTTATCATACTTTTATAATTTTTTGAGTTGTTATTCTATTTCCATAACAATTTACTGCATTTAGCGGGAAACTTAACAAAAGTGAAAGTTTTTGTTGTGGTCTTTATTCTCTTTAGTTGTGTCAAGGAATTTGAAAATACTTTTTCTCATGGATTATAGTAAGAGAGAATGCTATAAAAGTTACTTTCAAATTTATGCTTAAAAATGATACATTACCACATCATGCCTTGCGTTTTGAAAGATTGTTTTGCAGATATAAAGCCATTTTTTTTTCTTTTAAACAGAGCTAATGTCTCAGAAGAAATTTGAGGAAATCAAGAAGGCTAATCAAGCTGCAGCCAAAAAACTTGTGGAAGAACACTTTAGCTCTTCATCCGAAGATGAAGGAGATGAAGATCTTGAAGGAAAACAGGGAAAAATAGTTGCTAATACATTTATAACATACACTACTCAGACAGGTACTGATCTTTTATATTTTGACTTTTTTTTTTTTTTTTTTGAGACAGGTCTCGGTTTGTTGCCCGGGCTAGAGTGAGTGCCGTGGCGTCAGCCTAGGTCACAGCACCTCCAACTCCTGGGCTCAAGCAATCTGCTGCCTCCAGCCTCCAGTAGGCTGCGGACTACAGGCATGCACCACCATGCCCAGCTCGGCCTCCCAGAGTGCTAGGATTACGGGCGTGAGCCACCGTGCCCGGCCTATATTTTGACTTTTTTTGACGTCTATGAAAGGATATTCCTGACACTTTTTGGGTAACACCTTTATTCTGTATGGAATAGTTTTTGCATGTTAAGAATGAGCATTTTATGTCATAGAGCTGAATTTTTGTACATTTTGCTGTTTGAGTTATATGTTATATAGCACTGATCTTTCCATAAAGCAAATATTAATGGAATGGCAGTGGCTCCTTAACAGTCATGGGAAGCATTTCAGTAGAATGCTTGAAGGAAGCTGCCAGAGCTCCCTGAGCGGTGAGCCAGGGCAAGTTTTGCCTGGTTGGGGTTTGACTGGACCGGAGGACTTTTTCTTTTTTTTTTTTTTCTGTAGGCGGCTGTCTTCCCTAAGAAAACTTCTAACATGATGAAAGAGATAAAAATGAAGAATAGATTGAGAGGGGTATGAAAAAGTCCTCGGTGGCTCATGCCTGTAATCATAGCACTCTGGGAGGCCGAGGAGGGTGGATTGCTTGAGGTCAGGAGTTTGAAACCAGCCTGAGCAAGAGCGAGACCCCATCTCTACTATAAATAGAAAGAAATTAATTGGCCAACTAATATATATAGAAAAAATGAGCCGGGCATGGTGGTGCATGCCTATAGTCCAGCTACTTGGGAGGCTGAGGCAGGAGGATCGCTTGAGCCCAGGAGTTGGAGGTTGCTGTGAGCTAGGCTGACGCCACGGCCCTCACTCTAGCCTGGGCAACAAAGCGAGACCCTGTCTCC